GAGCTAGCGGCTCAGCCACCCACCAGGACACTCAGCCTCACTCTCAGGGCTTCCCGCGGGGCCGAGGGCTGTGGCTCTGTCAAAACATGTTTCTTCCAATGGGCTGAGCCCCAATTATTGTGTCAGGTCCTGGCCACAGAGTCACGCGGACATCATTCCATGCTCACTAGAGCCAACCCCCACAGGAGCGTGGTTATCTCGCGTTACAGACGAGGACACAGAGGCTCTGAGACACTGCCCCCGGCAACACCCAGAGCAGCTGGGCAGTGTCCAGGCACATCCGGGTCAAGACGAGGGTTGCTCCAGTTCTTGCAGTGCGCTCTGGGCCCTGGCCCAAGTCCCCCCAGGTCCCCAGACCCGGGTCCCCAAGGAGGTCCCCACCACCCCTCCAGGTTAGAAGCCTGCCCAGAAGTACCTGGCAGGTCGATGGCCACCGCCCGGTAGCCCGCCTGTGCCAGCCTGAGCAGCGTGCCCAGGTTCTGCCAGGTCTCGGAGGAGAAGCGGATCCCGTGCAGCAGCAGCACCGAGAACCGGGGGGCCTGCCCTCCGCCGGGCCGCACCTCCCGGAAGAAGAGGCTCTGGCCCTGCACCTGGATGGTGCCCTCCTGCTGCTCCACGTCCGCCATGCTGCCGCCTGCAACGCCTGCGGTTCAAAACCAGGCTGATGAGCACAGGGCAGCCTGCCCCGTGGAGCGGAAAAGCCGCCACAGAGAGGGTAGGGTCCAGGGGAGCGGCAAGCCCCCCCCCCCCAGGCTCCCAGAACTCTAGGAACAAGCTTTGGGGCGAGGAAAACGAAGGTGTTATTTCTCTCTGCCGTTCACTTAATTGTGTGGTCTTGGGCCTCAGTTTCCTCATCTGAAAAATGGGACATGAAAGCCTACATCAAGAATTAAAAAGAAGAAAAAGAATCGGCAAGTGAGGGTGTCTGCCCTTGGAAAGACCCCAGTACAGGGGCTTCCGTTATGATTCTCGTTCTCACTGGCATCCTTTTCTGCAAGTGGGGCTAACCCAGGAGCACTCAGCTCCTAGGTGGCGATGGGGCCAAAGGAGGCCGCGCTTGTGAAACCCTGCGGGCCGGCCCAGCGCTGACTGCGGAGCGTGGTAGTTGCTCAGTCACAGTAAGTAGCTATTTTGCTCATCGGCCTCTGTGAAGGGTCGTAGTTTGGCACCGCAGACAGGAGAGGGTCGGGGCTGGAGAAAAACACCCATTTTCTGGACGCGGAAAGCGCAGCGCTCAGAAGAAAAAGCATTTGGAATTCCCGCCCGCAAGGGGCATGACCCGGTGCAGGCTCGGCGGGCCTGGGAGAGCGGGAGCACGAGGAAGGGGTGGGGCAGGCCCGAGGAAGGGGACCTGGGAGCCGAGTGGGAAGGGGAGAAACTGGGATAGTCTAACTGGAGAGAGGGAGAGAGGGTTGGGGCGCAAGGCAGGTACCTGGGGAGCTGCGTGGGCTCGCACAGCGGGCGGAAGCCGAGGACTGGAGGCTG